GATGATGTCTGATGAGCTGCCGGTGTCAATAAGGATTCTTCCAACCAATTGGTTGGCAATCTTACATTCAATGACAACCGGGTCATCATGCGGACGGCGGACGCTGCCCCTGTCCTTCTCAGTGATCAAGACGTCTGGGAAGGAGGTGCTTGCAGACGCCTGCTCATCATCATCCTTGTCCATCTTTCGAAGATGGCTTTTGGTGCCCCGGATAGTAGGGCCACCACAGGAGAACCCGCCTGCTATTGTGTAGACTGGCTTCTTATCGGTATCCGAGCTACTAGTAGGCTGGGGGGTAGTCTTGGAGGACTGACCCTTGTTTTTCTTTTTTGCCCCGGCTGGGGACTTGGAAATGTAGGACTTCAACAGCCCTTTGTCAGCCAGACGGTCCAACGCCCGCTGAAGACTGAAGCAGTCGTTGGTATCATGACCGACCTCCTCATGGAACTGACAAAATTTATTTTTGTTCCGTGTCTGGACAGAACTCTTCATAGGATTCGGCTTCTCAATGGACAGCCGGTCCTTTACCTCCATGAGGATGGAGTTGCAGTCTTTATTAAATTCGTACTTGGGGACGTACGGTTTAAACTCTTTCTTTTTCTTCTGAGACGGCTGGTCAGAATCATTAACCGCCCAGATTTCTTTTCTTTTCTTGCTCTCTTCTTTATTTTTGGCCGGCTGAGCAGACCGGCTGTCCTTCGGTTTGTCGGACTTCTTGGAGTCCTACTGGTTACCAGACGAGCAGAGGTCGGTAGCTTGAATGTAACTTTCCGCCTCCCTCAGGGCCGCCTGTAAGGTGAAAGCCCCTTTTCTGACTAAGTCGAACTTAAAGGTCGACCCGTCTCTCAGACCCTTGAAGAAGTATGTAAAAGCTACCTCGTCAGACAGTCCTTGAATATGAATTCTGATCAGATTGAACCGCCTGACATAGGAGCGTAGCCCTTCTCTCTCCCTCTGCTTAACAGTGCTCAAGTCAAGGCTTGTTTTCTTAGCAGGGATGTTCATTGAGAAGTTAGAAGCAAACAGGAAGGCGAACTTCCTGAAACTATCGATGGACCCGGCTGACAGATTACCAAACCATTGTTGGGCAATGCCCTTCAATTGTAGCCGGGAAGCACCGGCACCAAGTGGCATCATCCAACCCCTGCAGATACATGAGGTTGGTGTAAGCCATGAGGTGGTCTTCCGGATTGGTGGTACCATCATAGGTACCAACCAATACATTCTTAACCTTGGCGGCTGGGCCGCCTTGGTTATCTCCCGGGTGAACGCAGAAGGCTGTTCACCCAGGCGCAGCAGACGAAGCTGCTAGTCCAATGGCTGGACATTTGGATATGCCGCCTGACCTCCAAAGAGGGCCGGCTGCATGAAATGAGGGGGATACTGGCCGTAGACCTGAGTAGGAACATACGGTACAACTCCAATCATATGAGGGCCAGAATGGACAGTATTACCGCATGTCTGACTCTCATGCAAGGAAGATGCATTCCCGACAGAGATATTGTTAAAGCTGTCAGGAAAGTTCGATGTAGAAGTTGACTCAGACAGCTGTTGATTTCTCTTCCGGTTGATGATCTCCCGGGCATCAAGAGATGACTTCTTATTTCTCACCGGCTGTTGAGTCCGACGGGAGTTATTGTTATTCCCCTTGGGAAGAAGAATTTTGGACCAATCAATGGTCCCGGCCGCCTTCTCCTTTGGATGAGGAGTGGGCTGCCGATCTTTGACTGACTTCCCCTTTTCCAGAGGAGTCTTCTTGGCCGACTGACCCCTACTTGGGCGAGCCCGGCTCTGGGTGATCAGCTCTTTAATTTCACCCTTGAAACTTGTCATGAATCTCATGAGCTCGTCTCGGGTGACAGACGCTGATCCAGCCGCCGCATGGGTTTCCCCTTCCGGCTACCCAGGGGGTCTACTTGCACCCGCCTGGGAGGCACCCCGCTCCAGAGTCTCTCTAGGCCGGATGCGCTTGATTCTGAGAGAGCCGTCTTCGGCTGTAAAGGTTTCGACTTGAGGATCTTCATCCTCATGGTCTGTAAAAACTTCTGGGTCTTCACCCAGACGGTTAGGGGTGGTACAGACTCTTGAACCATCTTCGAGGTACTCTCCCCACAGACGGCGCCAAATGTTTTGGGTGTTTTTGTCCCTCGGGAGAGTTACAACACGAAGACTGATTCGGAGTGAGCTGTATCTGCAAAACAAACGGAGACACCGGTTGGGTGGTGCTCCGCCTCCGACGCACAAGTTAGAAACTTGAAGGGAGAAAAAGGTGCGGAAATTTAGGTAGGGATCTGCTCGGATTCCAAGCTCAGGTTGTCTCTATCAAAGAGTAAAGAGTGTAATAAATGGTAAAACGTGCCCTCAAAAAGAGGGACATCTCCCTATTTATAGGGCCTTTGGGATTTGTGCCCCTGATTAGGTCACTGAACCCTAATCATCGGTGGGCTGCGCCGCTTTGCGGCTTTCTCGGGATTTGGGCCTGAAGGCCGCCTTTTTCCCTTAATTTCTGGAGTGACACGTGTCAAGCAGGGATTGGTCCACTTTGGGACATCCTGAGACTGACACGTGTCATCCTCTGATTGGACCACGTGGCGGGGTAAAATTACCCAAAACAGTCAGGGCCTTCAACGCATTCTTTTCCGTCAAATGTGCTTGTTGTTGTCACACCCTCAGCAGCGTTGCTTGCAAGATGACCTTGATTTACCCATGTCACTGACTAAGAAATTGCCAGCAACTGATGCTGCTCAGGCTGATGATACCATCACGGTGTCCAGCCAATGAGAATGTTGATTGACTAGGTAGTCTGGGCATTTAGCAGATGTTATGAATATTTGTTGTAGCTGTCATATCCAGACATTGTATCGTAGTTAAAATGAGACAGCTGCTGCTTTTCTGATTTCCATGTACTATATGTCTAGGCATCTATGTCTTTGTTTTCAAGTTGGCACTATGTAAATTCTGAAGCTTTTTACTGATGAAGTTCAGCAAGTATAATTGCTAGTAATTTCAAGTGATGTGCATTAGTATATTTCTATCAGTGACCCAGTATGGTGTATTGATGTTGGTTAGTTGTTCTCGTGAGTGAATTAAACTTGCTAGGTATAATTGGAGGTGACAAGCACATTATTTGACTCGATTCAGCTCAGGTTATATTATTATTTGGATTAGGTCAGGTCAACAACTGCAGTTTGAGTTGAACCCGAGTCATTTGATTTCGAGTCACTTTAGGTCTTGATTGGGTTACAGTATAGATGAGGCACCTAGGCAAGTAACTGCTTCCAACTTCAGAAAAACACAAGATAATAAGGATTGTAGAGCTGTTTACAAGGGTGTAATTAAGATACATTGATTAGTCTCCTCTGACTTTGGGTTATCATCAATTAGGATATTAAAATCTCATAAAATAATGTATTTATCACCAGAATATCCTCTGATACAATATTTTACTGCAATTATTGTAAAACAGTCCTCTATGACTGAATTTTAGCAACTTTACAAACAAATTAAATATGCAACAAATATCTATTGTTAGTAAGACTACTTCTAAAAGAATCTAAGCTTGGATATTACCAACGTCAAGTATTGTAACAAGGATACACCAATCATATGTCTACATCTGAATACAGTATGAGCATAAGCAAATTTGACAGTTGAAACAAAAGAGAACATTAAAAAAAATATATATATATATATATATCAGCCCGAATACAGTGTTATCATAAATGGTTTTACAAGTTATGTATGAGACTTAAGTATATTCCGTATAATACCAAATACGAACGGATTTCAGACAGACTTACCTGATAAATATTGTGCAAATAAGAGTTGCAACTTGGAACTTATAAATACATTTGGATAGAAGTGGTTATAAGAATAACACCCCTTTAATTCAAAAAAGGGCCGTTCAGTATATTTTATAGTTATTCATTTTGTTTTTATCAACTTGCTACCTTTTCAATTATATCGTTTGCAAAATTGTAAGACCTTTATTTATTTATTTTTTCAGAAATATATCTGTGTAAGAATACAAGTTTTTCATTTTTTCATAACATGGGAATCAATCTATCAACTTCGTCAATTCCAGATAATACAGAGGGTCTTGGAAATGTTATCTATGATCAAAATGGTTTAGATTATAATAACCAGATTAAGTCTGGGCTGTCCGTTTATACTAAACGAGGTGGCAAGGCTGTTAACCAGGATTGTGCTGTCCTTTGTCAGGTACTTACTTTGTTATCCAATTTTTATGTACTAATTCTTAGTTATTTCAGGGTTTAACTAGCTCTAGGTGTGTCCAAGAACAAGACAGAGGTGCTTTTTTTTTTTTTTTGTTTGGTCAACTTGTGAGCATTGATTTAAGATTTGATTGATAATACATTATATCAAAAAAATGGTAAGTTAGCACCAACACTTTTGTTTTAAACTGTACATGCTGGCTTAGCCGGACTGCCCTATCGCAGAGTTATCAGCCTGATCATGCAGGTAGCTAGGTCTTTCCCCTTGCAATTATGCTTTCTCTCAGGGTTGTTCTCATGAAAGATGGTACCACTAGACTTGAGGGTGGTCTTTTATAGACTTAAAAGTTAGAACTTAAGAGATATATGGAAAACAAAATTACATACTATACTTTTTGTTTATGTAATAATAGGCATTAGTAATTCCAGGTTGATTAATCTTTTCTCCTGTATTTTCAAAGAAAAGGGCTAAATCCTAGCATATATCAGTATAACAGGCCAGGTAAAATAAATAGAAGGTATTTCAGAGTTTTTGCGAGAAGATCATTGAATTTTTTGTTTTTTTTTTATTTTTTTTATTTTTTTATTTCATATAACATGCGAGATCTTGTTTGAGGATTCTAGACTAGTAACAAAAAATCATGCATCAAAACGGTTTCTCGTTTGATATTTATTTGTTATTTTTAATCATTAATACTTTATAGTTCTGTTGTAAAATCTTTTTTAGAGGCTTGGACCTTAGCTGCTTTGTCTTTCTATTTGAAGGGCTATGAGTCAGAAAACGGTGTACTTTGTGGAGTATTTGATGGTCATGGGATAGACGGTCATCTAGTGAGCAAGGATGTTAGTCGCCGCTTGCCATTGTTAATCCTAAAGCAAAAGATTGCAATGTCAGTGCCACAGACAAGAAGTAACAGCAAAAGTGATCAAACAACAAATTTGGGTTGTTCATCACTAAACAACAGCAAGGAACTCCTTACATGGAAGGAGGCATGTATAAAAGCTTTCCAAGAAATGGATGATGAAGTGCTTAAGAAGGTGCTGTCAGAGAGGCGCGATTTTTTCAGTGGAAGTACTGCAGTAGTAGCTCTGAAACAGGTTTGTTACAGTTACATCAGTTTTAAGCCAATATACAAAGTATGCAAATCTTCAAAGTTGAATATATATACTATATATATCTGTTATATGATTTCTGGAAGTAAAGCATATTATTTTGAGTAGAGTGACGATCTACTCATCGCGAACCTTGGGGATTCAAGGGCTATTCTAGGATGCAGAGGAGAAAAAGGAGTTACTGCTGTTCAATTAACCACTGATTTAACGCCTGGCATACCTGGTGATTTAGCAACTATGTTTCCATATTTTGATTTTTAAGCAACTGATAACAATAAGGCCTTTTTTTCTGCATTTACTGTAAGAATTTAGTTAGTAACTTAGTTTATACATGTATGAAGCATTATTTACTTTTTTAATATGGCATGTAGATGAAGCTGACAGAATAAGAAGGTTCAACGGCAGAGTGTTGGCAATGAAGAACGAACCGCATGTCAAACGAGCATGGTTACCTCTTATTGACAGACCTGGCCTGGCTATGTCTCGTTCCTTTGGAGAAGTTTTAATGAAAAAGTGTGGCATAATCTCTACTCCAGTAATCACTCATCACCACATTACTCCGAACGACTTGTTTATCTTGCTTGCTAGTGATGGGGTAAGATTTTCTAAACTTAATGGCTATTGCACTTGCAAGTTTTTCAAATCTAAACATGGCACTCTTAGCTTAGAGATCGAATATTACATATTCGAGTTAATTGCAGATATGGGATGTCCTGAGCAATGAGGAAGTAGCATCAGTAGTATGGGGTGTACAGCAAGAAGAGATGGCCGCAAAAGCAGTTATAGATGCTGCAGTTGTAGCATGGAAGAAGAAGTTTCGATTTGACAAGCGTGACGATTGCACTGTTGTCTGCTACTTCCTACAGAAGAAGGGTCAGAGTCATCAGACATCAGCAAATCCACCTCTTGAAACAAAGCTTCCATAATCATAATTTAGGATATTTTAAACATTGTACACAAATTACAGTACAGGTACTTAAGGACCACTCTTTGTATGTACATATTAATAACCCTGTTAATTGATTGTATAAGGTGATCTTGACTCGAAAAAGGGACTCGAAGAAGAGGTTTTACACTTGATCTTTTGTGGTAAGCAAGGTTGAAGAATGAAGATTGGGGTGTGAAATCGATAAATTGTTTCGAATGTGTACAGATTTTAGAAAGATTCAAGACTCTATCATCTATTCCCCTGTAAGTTGTAACAAATAGAGTAGAGTATGAATGTGTATTGGGTAGATATTGTAAAGGTCTTGTGGGAAAGTATACTAGCACGTGCTTGTGACAATCGCTTCCTTTTTATGTCTGTTTCATTTTTGGTTAAGTTGGTATTTGGTTTGTTCAACAAAAGTGTAATCAAACAATTTGTTTGATATAATCAATTCGAGGATCTTTACTTAAATATCACTTAATTAATTTTCGAAAATATCTCTTGTAAGTTCCCAAGATCCCTAAAATACCCTGTAATATGAATTTTAAGCATATCACGGCTACATACCTATGCAATTTCGACCCTAAATATGTCAACTTTGTAGCAAAATGTTATACGTCTTTTTTTTTTTAATTAATAATTTTAATCAAGATTACTCTTATTTATGCTGTTTAATTAATAAAAATTTCGACCTTTTCATCAAGTAGCAGCTGTTTAATTAATTATTTGATTAATACTCCTTTGTATTATATTGATGCTAATCAGCAGCTGTTGGCCAGGTGTTTTTAAAAAAGGAAAGACAAATCTGCCACTTGATAAAAGAAGTTGACCAATTTTGATAAATGAAGCAGGTAAAAAGGGCACAAAATTATAATATTGATAAAGTTCCCAATTTGCTGAAAATAATAGACTATTATTTGTATTCTATAGCAAATATGGAATATACCCTTCCAAAGTTCCAATTAATTTGGCAACAATAATACAAAATGGGTGTATCATGTATGTATTACACTATTACTTATGCATTGGACATTTGGACTGTCCCCCCACCCCAATCCAAACCCCAATGTTGTTACATAATTCGTACGTATTTTAAAAGATATGTTCTTTTCATCTTATAAAAACAAGTTGAGTTTAGTTGATGTTGAGATATCAAGGTGCATCCAAACTTTTATGAGGTAGCTAGAACCCCGTTACAAAAATAATTAATTAAGCTTTACACAACTCGATGTCTCGATTATAGTTAACAAGGATTAAAACCTTAATTCCCTAATAGATTATTCCAAATTCTGATAATAGATCTGACTTATTGGTAGGAGACCTTTTCTATACTATTTGAGCGTAGAAAGGGATAATACAAATTAATGTAATAGTAATTAATTAATAAAGGGCATATATATTATACATGTCTACACCTCAACTTGCATATTAAGGGACCATTAATTGTTGCAGTCCATCAGAAAAATTAAATTAGAAAGAATGAGCCAATTTAACTGATAATTAACAGAAATTTGGACCGACCCTTTTCAGTTTTTGGTACTCATAAGTACCTTCTAGATCTCTTATATAATCTTACTTAATTCCAGGGAAACATATAAAATAATGCTAAGACTTTATAACAGCATAAAGTTTATGCAGGAACCAATAAAAACCAAGAATTTCAGAAGATTTTTGTAAAATGGGAGGTACTTCATCATCTCCAGTACTTCCTGAAGGTCTAGGAAGTGTTGCTTATGATCAAAATAGTATGAAACGTAATCAACAGATCAAATTTGGATCAGTTCATACGCAGCAAGGTGGTAAAGGAGTTAATCAAGACAGTGCTGTTCTTTGTCAGGTAAATTTCTACCTGTTTTTTGGTCAACTTGTTATGTTTGTTGTTTCTTTTGGGGAGGAACTCTTGTTCAATCCTCAGAATTTTGATGTTTATGTACGATTCGTGTTAACGGGCTCTTCAGATCTTGTGCCTTCAGATTGGCTTATCACTGCTCGTTTCATTTCATATGCTGTTATATTATCTTGCATATTTGTAAGTTATAAGTTTTGAAATTTTTGTAGGTTTGATGCATATGAGTTTGAGATGAAAAAACTGTTAGACATCTAATAATTAGTTTGAACATTTGGTAGAATTAATTCAGGATGATTCACAATTGAGTATGTATGGCTGATATAATACTACAGAACAGGGTAAAGATGATTTATTGATAGAGCATTCGTATAATTAGAAGGCGAATTATAGAAAAGATTAGTATTAGTATGATTATACCATGATTATCTGTCTTCATTTCTTTTTAAAGGGTTATGGATCAAGAGATGGTGTATTTTGTGGAGTATTTGATGGTCATGGAAAAACCGGTCATCATGCAAGCAAGGCAATCAAATACCGGTTGCCATTGCTACTGCTAGATCAAAAGAATAATGCAGTGTCGTCGTCAGAGGCTAATGTGAATAACTTAGAAACCCAATCAAGTAACAGCAGTGATTCATCACCAAACTTGGAAGTCCTTAAATGGAAGGAGGCGTGTATCAATGCCTTTGATGCAATGGATGAAGTGCTTAAGTCAGTCAAAAAATTCGATTATTCTTTCAGTGGAAGTACTGCTGTAGTAGCTCTGAAACAGGTCTGTTATAGTAAGACAGAACATTTATGTAAACTTGATTATATGTTGTTTAACATGGATTTTGACAGTAGAAGAATTTTGATGAGCAGGGTGATGATCTTCTTGTTGCTAACCTTGGGGATTCGAGGGCTATCCTAGGGACTAGAGGCGAAAATGGAGTAACATCTGTTCAATTAACCACTGATTTAAAGCCCGGCACTACTGGTATATAAGCAGATATGTTATCATTTTCGGGTTCTTTTAAGGCCTATTATTTGCTTCTGAATCAATGTAGTTACGTTTTCACTGTAATTATGCAGAGGAAGCCAATAGGATAAGGAGGTACAAAGGCAGGGTGTTTGCATTGAGGGATGAACCAAGTCTACAGCGAGCGTGGATGCCTCATTCTCAAAGTCCAGGGATGGCCATGTCTCGCTCCTTTGGAGACTTAGTTATGAAGCATTATGGCATAATCTGTACTCCAGTATTCACTCATCACCACATAACTTCGGATGACCTCTTTATCTTGCTTGCTACTGATGGAGTAAGCTCTGAGTCCTTTTAATTATCTTCCTACATTGGAGTGATTTGATCAATTGTTTTGTTTTCTTACAAGATATGTGTTGTTAAAGACGAGACTGATCTGAAGCGAAACCTGTTTGAATTACAGGTATGGGATGTCCTTAGCATTGATGAAGTGACATCAGCTGTATGCGGCGCAGAGGATGAAAAGATGGCAGCAAAAGCAGTTGTAGATGCTGCTGTTGCTGCATGGAAGAAGAAGATTCCACATGACAAGCGTGACGATTGCACTGCTGTTTGTTACTTTCTACAGAAAAAGAACAGATCTGGTACAAGCTCACCTACCTCTTGAAAGATGAGGTTCAATTCATTTAAACTATCATCATAACAAAGGTTAATAGCCGCTTAACTGGCCACTTTACTTAAGGTGAAGAAACCTTATACTGTAGGCTACTGACAGTAAATGTGTGAAGATCAGTACACCTACTGACTAGATAAGGTGATTTGGGCTCGAAATGGAGGGATCGATTGGACTCAAAGGAGTGATTTTTCGCTTGTTAGTCATGGCTGAACAAGCAAGCTTGAAAGATTGTGGCTCGGAATGGAAGGATTTTGCTTGAAATGAGAGACATTTAGTCTATTTTTTTAGAGGGATTTGAGTTATCTACTTCTTGAATTCTGCCTCTAATCTCCTCTATCAAAATGGACTGTTAATGTGCATTGTGCAAATGGGTTGTGAAGGTCTTGTGAACAAGTATAAATGTATATGTCAGATGACACCAATACTTAATTGCTGCCTTTTTTTTTTTTTTTTTTTCACTTCTTCTTGGGAGACTTCACAAATGTGATTAAGTTTAATCTAATTTTCGATTATATACTAGTTTAAACTTGGGTTATGTATGTTGTTGGTTATTACATATGGCTCAATGTAAGCATGATAACGGAGTCATGATTCAATCTGTTGGAACTCGAGGATCTGTGCTGTGAAGCATGAGCTTACTCTGCAGGATAGTGCATACAACTATACAAGCTCGAGCTTTGGACATGTACGCCGCGAATTTAGAGGCCATTTATGCCATGGCAAAAGGTTATGTACAGCCTCATTTCAGAGCAAGTAACCTTGTTTAGTTTCTTTCTTTTACTGAAGGAAGAAATTGGGAGAGAACTGATATTTATTTGTTTAGGAATTCTTTCAAAATTGTTTTGTAAGCAGCATCTATTATTTTGTCCTGTAATTGTTATTCATAATGCTGCTAGAATATTAAATTTGCTTTCTTATTCTTGTTTCTATTCAACTTCCTATTATTTCCGAGTCAATAAATTATCTAGCTTTACGTACATGATAGCTTAAAAACCATTATAAATTTATATTACGAAGTACTTTATTATGTCTTCAACACATTTAACATTTATATACAAAGTATTTATATTTAATGTGTTTAATAAGCACTTTTAGTGGCTCTCCCGGTTTTGTATATATGCAACTTGTAATTCAACTTATAATGCATTAATGTGTTGAACAAAGAGACCAAGTGGATAAAATTGATGACAAATTGACAGAGACATTTTACCTTCAAACAAAACAATATGAGACAATTATATGAATTGTTATTTCCATACCTTATATCCCTACCTTATAAAAATTAGAAAGAACTCTTAAAAATAGTGTGTTACCAACTATACCCTCAAAAATATGTAAAAAAATTATGTACAAAAATGTATATCTACTTTTTTACCCTCATTAATATGTTTACTCTCATTAATATATATAATTGGTTTTTTTTTTCCTCATTAAACATACCATCAATTAATACAAAGTTTTTTTTAACAAAAACTTTAATGCCTTTTTTTAAAAAATAAAATAAAATAATTATAATGTTTTGTACTTCATATGTTATTATTATTTATAAAGGAAAAAAATTGTATGTACGAAGACTTTATTTATTACCACGAGATGATTTATTTTTACTCTTTCGTAGTTGCTCTTCTTATTTAAAATTTTGTTGTCCTTTAATTACAAATATTGTTAATGTTTATTAGCTTTTCAATTGTACATTATTTGATGGCACTCACATAAACAACGTAGAATTTAAATGACATTCATATCAAATAATGATATTTGAGCAGATGTTAATTAGAGGTATAAATAACTTTTAAATTCTAAAATTGAGGGACATCGATGATAAAAAATAAAATGTATTCAATATGGAGAGAATTTAAGAGGAAAAATATAACTAAGTGGTTATTGCTTTAGTATAAAATATAGAAGTAGATATTAGATGGTCGTAGAACATTGAACTTACATTATTAAGTTTATAGATACAACGAACATTTCACATATTATTACTCCATATGACCAAGCTCAAAAAAAATTTGTTTGAAGAAAAATACGTTAAGTATTATTGAATCATGCAAATTAATTAAGAGTTCTAAACTAGCTTAAGATATGAAGGGATGCAAATCAATTAAATATTATTTAATAATAATTTTGAAATAACACTGTCAAACTTTTCAGGGTTTTAAAAAATAATTGTCATTAAAGATTTTGGTGGCTTTTTTTTTATACTTTTACAAAACCACATAGACACATAAACCAAATAGTAGGTATTAAAACTAGCTGGTCTACCACCCAAACCAAAGGTGTAAATACGCGCTAATACAAGTTCTATGCAAGAGCTAACTCTTTCGCGCGTATAGGATAAACCCTAGTTGTTAATAAATTTAGTAATCATGAACTTTTGAGTATTTGCAAGTTGCAACCTTTATTTATTCAACTACTTCTACTCCCCTTCATAGTATTTGTGCACTTGTTTCATTTTGCTATTGTTTTGAGTCTTTTTGGATTGAGGCAAATAAAATAAAACCAAGACGAAATTAAATCAAATTTAAAAATTTTATTTGTGTATAATGTATGATCTTATTCAATAAACTATATTATGACGTTGATTAGGCTATGTTCACTAATTATTTGGGGAACCTAATACTAAATTTTACTTTGTATTAAAATTAGATAAGATCAAACTAAGACTAGATTATCGTTACCCTAAAGAATTAATTTTTTGTACGGGTATAACTAATAAAATTGTATTTTTTTTTTAAATATAATTAAAAACAAATTAATTTTTTTTTTTAAAAAAAAAAAAAAAAAAAACTGATGTGATAAGACAGCTTTAGAGTATGTTTATCTAGCTTTGTGTTTATCCAAAAGCAAAATTCATTATAACACCTAGCTAAGTAAGACCTTTTCCTATTATAAATCCAAGAACGGATAATTACAACAAAGCAACAAGTCCAACAACTACATAATATTATTGTAATTAATAAGACAAATCATTCCTACATGGACACACCTCATTTAAATTTTTAATATTTTTCAGGGGTCATCATCATTTATCAACATATATAAAAGTAATGAAAAACAAATAAAAAGCCAACTTGACTAGTTTAAATAAACGACCTTTTTTTTCATTAGTTAGGTACTTTTTTTTTCATGTTATATAATCTACATTTTAATGAACTTTTCGAAATCGCAAGACTTTTTGTAGTTCATAACATTATTTCACATTTTGTGTAGATATAAAGAATAATAAGGTAGATTATATTATACTATATACTATCGTAGTTTCACATAATTTGTTAATTTAATGGGGGTGAGTGCATCGGCTCCGATTTCGGTTATTCCTGATGGTCTTGGAAGCGTGATTTATGATCAAGATGGTATGAAAAATAATGATCAACAGATCAAATCTGGATTTTCTATTCATTCTCAACGTGGGTGTAAGCCTGTTAATCAAGATTGTGCTGTTCTATGTCAGGTATTACTAGTTTACAGGCATTTAATTTGGTTAATTTAGGCGTACATTATGAGATTGAAGATCATTTCTTTTTGCTTTCCATTATATATATGTCTGTAGAATAAAATGGAGTTCATGGCATACCCGAATGTAATTAAAATTAGGTACATTCGGGTGTATAATAGAAAATTGTACGTAGTAATTGAGTTGATTTACTTAGAATGTTTTGAGATAGAGGGATAGCTCAAGTGTCAAAGCTTCCCTTCTAGTTATAGGAGATCATGAAAATTATAGTAAAGTATTTGGAATGCTTTAAGATAGGGGATATATATATATATATATATATATATATATATATATATATATATATATATATATATATATATATATATATATATATATATATATATATATATATATATATATATATATATATATATATATATATATATATATATAGATAGATAGATAGATAGATAGATAGATAGATAGATAGATAGATAGATAGATAGATAGATAGATAGATAGAACCCGTTTTTATGACTCTCTAAATACTTAATAAAAAAATTAGAATGCTTTGAATGATTAATTTAGAATACTTTTGAGCTAATTGATATTTTTATTTTGCTTTGAGTGATTAGTTATAATACTTTTGAGTAAATTGACATTTATTTTTATTAAGAGAATTTTGCTTTAAGGTTTTGTATTTTGTGAATAGTTGATGGTGTATGGAGTTTAGAATTGCGGAAATCTAATATTCCGAATTTTAAAAACACAATAGTAATTATAGAATTAATAGTCGCATAGTGATATTAAGTCTTCATTGACTCTACTAACATTCGTTTATATTGAGCTATAAGAAGTATCATCTAAGTACAATTATATACCAACATACACGTCTTCACAAAAAAAAAAAAAAAAAAAAAAAAAACCATCATACATTATTATAGTTACAAAAGACTCGTGCTATTAAAGGCTAAGAATTTTAATTCATAATTACATACATTTTTTTTTTTTTGAAATATCATACAATTGATACAAAGTAGTTTGAGGTTATCTTGGTCATAGACTCATAGCCTAAAGTATGTAGTAATCCCTTTTTTTGTGTACCTAACAAAAATTCTAGAGATCAAACCATTGATTAGGCAACTAATCATCATTTCAAATGTTTGGTTGAATAAGTTCTCATATCTTACCAAATTTAATTTATATCTTACCTAAAATCTATACTATTTTATTTAATTGTAACCTAAATTAAAATCTATAGTACTAAAAATAATTAAAAGTTAATTTTTTATTCCCAAAAAGTGGTGATTATGGTTGGGATGACGCATATGACTCGGTTGGTCTCAAGAATATTATAAGCCGGGCGTACTAGTCTTGCGGCTTGTGCCTCGTGCGCATGTGCAAGCATGTTAAAAGGCCCACCCAATATACATGGTCCAAATCTATATCAGCCCATTTATTTGCTCTTTATTAACTTTTGATTAAACATATTTGCTCTTAATTTCTTTATTAGTCCCTTCCATTTAAATTATCAAAAAATATGTACATGGACCAATTTTTATTTATGACATGGAAAAAAATCAACAAAGTACTAGATAACTTTAATTGGGAACCCAAACATTTGATTAACTCTCACTTTAATAACTTGATGTTTACAAAATTATTTCATTATGAGTACCTATCTGTTAAGAGTTTAGGGGGTTGAATTCAAAAGATTTATATATATTATATTATAAAGAGTTTTAATAAACTGAAAGAATTTTAATATTATTAATAAGAGTTGATGTAAGACTAAAATGATATCTCAACCATTTTGTATAAGTGGTCAAATTTTAAGGCTTTTAAGGCTAAAATGATTTCTCTATAATTTACATATTCACTTGTGACAATCTTTCACCCAAGCATTTTTAACCCGTATATGGTGACTCACTCATGACTCAACCTAATATTGACCCATAAGGTCCATAACCCAACGCGCCCAATGACCAGGTCTACCTTCACTTAAAAAGTTGACGACTCTATCAACAACTTTGACAAGGACAATACTTTACTTACAATACTATATCATACACAAGCACTTGTATTAGTTTACAAAATCTCCCCTACCCAAGTAATAACCAATATCTTTTCTGTTTTAAAGGGCTATGGATCAGAAGATGGTGTACTTTGTGGAGTATTTGATGGTCATGGGAAGAACGGCCATCTAGCAAGCAAGATCATCAGTCGTCGCTTGCCTTTGCTATTACTTGACAAAAAGAATGCAGTTGCGGAGGTGAATGAGAACTACTCCGAAAGCCATTCAAGTAACTACAGTGGCTCATCGCCGAACAATGAACTCCTAGAGTGGGAGGAGGCATACATGAATGCATTTCCGGAGATGGATGAACAGATAAAAATGGTGAAAAAAGTGGATTTTTCTTTCAGTGGTAGTACTGCTGTTGTAGCTCTCAAACAGGTACGCTATACTCTCAGTAAATAAGAGTGTAAGACTAATTTTTTCAAAAAGCATTCATCTACTGAGTAAAGTTGTCCCTCCGTTCCTAAGAAATAGGCCACATAACACGTGTGTATGAGTCATGTTTTTAAGGAATCGAGTTAGCATATCATTAGTCTATCCATCACAACAAAAAATTTTACATGTCCAAAAGGGGCTTATATTATTTTTTATAACGATGATTTGAAATAGAGATATGGCCTATTATTTAGAATTGGAGCGTGATTATACTTTGTATTATTTTCTGTTTCTGACATAATGTTTTGTGTAGGCTGATGATCTTTTGATTGCAAACCTTGGAGATTCAAGGGCTATACTAGGAACAAAATCAGAAGTTGGAATTACAACTGTTCAATTAACCATTGATTTAAAGCCTGGCACACCTGGTAATTAATTAAGCAAAATTATGTTTACAAGTCTTCGGTTTTTTTTTTTTTTTTTTTCTAACAGAGAATAAGGCCCTGTTTTTTTCTATGAGTATGGTTGTATTTATGTGTATTGATATGTCATGCAGATGAAGCTGATAGAATTAGAAGCTCCAACGGTAGGGTGTTCGCCTTAAAGGATGAACCGGGTGCTCCCCGAGCATGGTTGCCTCGAGTTTACACTCCAGGGATTGCTATGTCTCGTTGCTTTGGAGACTTTGTTATGAAAAACTATGGCATAATCAGTACACCAGTTATAACTTATCATCAGATAACTTCTGACGACGTCTTTATCTTGCTTGCTACTGATGGTATATGGGATGTGCTTAGCAATGAGGAGGTAACATCAATAGTATGCAGCGTAGAGAATGAGGAAATGGCTGCAAAAGCAGTTGTAGATGCGGCTGTTGCAGCATGGAAGACCAAGATTGCGTATAACAGGTGCGACGATTGCACTGCTGTTTGCTACTTCTTACAGAAAAAGGACTAGAACACAGTGTGCACAAACCAAATTTTGAAAGATGAGGTTCTCTTTTTCTTATCATTGTTGAAAAAAAATTTATGGTATCTTGCTACTTCACTTGGTTACTTGACTGGAGGAACATTTTACTTAAGACCAATGATTTGTAACATAATTTGTGGACATCAGTAAACCCTGCTGATAAGATCGAATAGGTGATTTAGGCTCGAAATTGAGGACTCAATGGACCGATTTTTCGCTTATTGGTGATTTGAGTTGTGGAAGGTTTCTTTGAATGAGGGAAAATTTTAGAGATATTCAAGGCTTCTTATATGCTCCCTCTACTTAAATTTCGCCTCGGATTGGATAGATCTTGTCTCAGATCATCTGTTCTCTTCTGTCAAATGGGTTGGTACTGTGAATGTGCATTGTGCAAATGAATTGTAAAGTATTATGGGAAAGTATAGCAATTTGTGATGGATGACATACTAGAACTTCCTTGCTATCTTTATTTTTTTATTTTTTTTGACATTTTATGTTGTATACATTTTATACATATGTGATTATGTGATATGAGCATTAATGTAGTGATCGGCTTAATTTCTTCACTTTTTTGCATATAATCTATGGTTTTTTATGTGAAGATTTCTACATGTACCTTGGTACACCTAGGAGTGTAGGAAGTATTTTTCCAAACTCATTATAAAGAGGGGAAAAAAGAAGAAGTAATTGTCACATTTAACCCCTCATTTTCAACATTCAAACCTCATGAATATTCTAACTTAGCTTTAAGGCTTTAACAAATGGAAAAATATTTTGTACTACATACAACAATATTTATTAGAAAGTTAGAATCTCTATTATTATTAGGACATGCACCCCAATATACATTTATATAAGAAATGAGTTTAACAATCAAAGGTTTATATAGCTATAAACCAAAATCAATACATAATGCTTTGTGCATAAAGATGATTAGTGTACATTAGAGATTTTGTTAATCAAACTTTATAACTTAGATCATTTTGTTCAACTGTACCTGACCTTAGTTGATGACTATGCTATAACTATTGCCTTTCAAATTTCTTTTGCTCGGAGCCTCGGACGTAGACATATTTCCAAAATACATATTAAAATCTTACTTTAAACTTTAGTACTATTTAGTATTACGTTATCTTAACTATCATTATCTCTATACTATGTATTTAAATGTATTTGTAATTCTATAAGCTAAGAGAGTCTGATTCAATATGACGCATTCTCCTTACCTATAAAAAAAAGAGTATATAGTGTATTAAAGTAAAACAAATACCCAACATCTATGCAAACGTACTATTGTAAATTTACTGACTTTCCAAGTATAATTTATCAAATTTTATTTATTTTTTATTTTTATTTTTTTTTTACAAAACAAGGGATTTTAAATATTTAATTGAAAATTCATGAATCTTGACTCTCAAGTCTCAAGTCAATACTCAATACTTTGAACAACAGAAAGCCTCCAATAATGGGGAAGGCGAAGAGTCATGGATGGATAAATCCTAAAAATTTGATCTTCCAATTCGAAAGGCGTGGAATTGAGCAAAAAATTTGTCATCTCATCTCAATTTGAAGCAATTCGGTGAGTTCAGATTTTGGCGCCATAATAATAGTCATAATCGTCTGTACCACACTTACATTTGTCAAATTAAACCCTAGAATTCAGCCAAAAATTGAATCAATTACCAATTAATCAGCTTGATTTTGATGTTAAATCGTTGGGTCTGAAGATTTCCAGAGCTAATATTACTTGGTACTAATGATTTTTAAATTTTTGTGCAGAAATTGTTTCAAAAACTGGATTGACGAAGATGGTGCAGCATTATGGAATTTGATTAATTGGAGGTCAATTTGTTTATAATTATTATCTCTGATTGAGATGGTTGCTGTTGTTGCAGTAGAAGATCATAGACATTGCCTGGTAATGAATGCTTATGTATAGTTAATTCAATTCTCGTTTCGAATTTCGATAATAATCGTTTGTGATTTTGATGATGTTGCTTATGAGATTAATCTGCTGGATTGCTTTTGCTTAATTCTGATTGTTTGACACTGGGATTTTGGTTGTAACTTGTCTAATGCCAAAGGAGTTAACAAGATCATTTTTTGATTAAATATTTCTTGATGTTTGAATAGGATACAATTTTTATACTTGTATTAGTTTGTTTATGGTAGACTTCTATAGTTCTATATTTCTTTGTTATGCTTAATTAACAATGTGATTTTGTCTCTAAGCATGTGGGCTTGGGTGATGTTCAAGATTAAAAATTTTGTTATGGGCCATTACAATATAATTAAAGCATGTGATACGACTTGGGTGATGTTCAAGATTAAAAACTTTGTTTATGGCATTTGCCTTATGTTCTTTCTCGGAAGCTGTTTCTTGATCCAATTTTTTAAAAGACTGGTTGTAAAAGGTTTTTAAATAGTACTACTTCATTTGTTGCCTTTGTTGCTTCACCTATATCTTTATACGTGTGAGACATAATAAGCAACGAATGTTCCGGTGTTTAGGAATATCGTCTCCTTAGTATGAGGTTGAGAGTTCGTTTCTTATCTGGCGTTTGTACCACCTATATTGCTATTTACATGATTACATGAGACATAAAAGTAGCCATGCTTCTTACTTCATAGTTTCTTCTAGAATGCTAGTATTAGAAGGTGAGGTTGTTAACTTGGTGTTGTTTATGGCGTCTCATGGCATTGTGCCCATTAGTCTATATCTTCAATTTTGTGTGCGAAACACTAATTCTTCCTGTAGCCTTTTGGTAAGGAATGTCCCAAAGTTAGCTGTGATATTTAAATCAACTGGCTCATATCATGACTCAAATTCTCACAACACTTGAAGAGGTGCAATCATTGAAATTGATGAGTACCTATGGTACTTGGAATAGAACTTAGACTACAACCCACTTGCAACCTTTTACCTATAGATATACGAAGTATAATACTACGTATATATGGAATAAAGCAAGATTCTTCAACCACTACTTTCATATTTGTATGCATGTTTCGGGCATGTCCCTCTAAAAGGCTGAAATAATTCATTTTTCAAATAGGCATTTCTTTATAGCTAAGTATATAAATATTTGTTAATCTTGGAGGTGGTTGGCTTAGGAATTTAGATGGGCTATAAGCATAAGTAGATAAGAAGAAGCGTGCTTATCTGGAGCCTACCAATTGAGCTGATAAGAACAAAGCAACAAGATTACATGGAGCCTATCAATTGAGCCATTATTCTTATGCAAGTCAATGTCAACCTAATCCACCCTCCCAAATCCAGGTGTATGCTTGTGATTCTAAATATGACATCATAATTCAAGAGAACCTTACCATGTGCTTGCTAACTTGAAACTATTACAGTTGCTCATTGAAAACTTCAATCGACTACGAAGTATGTGATTTGAGTTGGCTAGAATGCCATGACATGTCATGATGCCAAACACAGCCCTACTTTTGTTGTTTTGTCTTTCTATATGTGATAAGTACTTTTGCTGATCGTGTACTTTGTAATTGAATATTATTGGCCAGAATATACCAAAGTCGGCCAGAGAAATTATTCTTTTAATAAAAAAAGGGATTCATTTCCATTCATTTGACTAATTTGGTTTTCAGCATATAATAATATTCACCTCTCTTTGAGTTGCTGATCTGTTTGTTCATCCCTTAGACTTTGTCCCTTTTTCTATTCTTTCAGCTTCTATTAATCACCACATATTAATTTGGTGACCATTTTTTCTTCCTTTATATTACTACTTGCAATTGATTGCTTATATTGTCGTTTTGTGGCTGAGATAATTGTGAAAGTGACTGGCAATATTTTGTTTAATGGTATTAGTCTTTTAGAAGATACTAAAATTGTTACCAACTTACCACTGGGGCTGTCTCTTCACGTGAAGCTAAAGATTGTTTTCTTAATGAATATTCATAATCTAATACAATTTGTGTAGTTCCGTTTACTTATATGATTACCCAATAGCCAGATCAATTGGCTGTTATTATTATATTTCTTTTTTATAATGTGTGTGTGTGTGTGTGTGTGTGTTGGAGGTAAGGGGACACGAGGGGTGATAAACCTCATAAAACCATAGGTCTGGGGTTGAAGCATGTGGGTTTGGGACATTCTTGTTAATTTTGGGAGGTGAGTTTACGGACAATTTTGTGAAACAATGAAAATATAAAGAGGGGGTTATGACGATGATATATCTGAATACTTCCTCGACAATTATATAGACTCAAAGACACATAGGGTGTTTCTGAATCCAATTTTATGATACAAATCCTTTACTGTGTTCCAGATTAGCAACTTGATAATGGATTTAGGAAGTCCTCTGTTGCTAAAGCCCATTAACTCTCCTAATATTTTACTGCTCTTAAGTTACAGCTATTTTACATGCTAGAAGTTTCATGTTTTGTTTTAGCTATTACTGGCTCCTAGGTCATAGCTCTTTTAATCTATGAACTACAAGTTATTTACCTTCCTATGTATTTGTCCTCCACGTGATTGAGGGTTTTGTCACAATTATTTCTTGATTATGATTTTATATGACATTATTGGATTTTTCTTCTACCTTAAATTCTCCAATTTACCATGGCCTATGAGGCTATGACAAGTCATACTGTATAACCAATCTAAGAATTTAGGAAAAAGACTTTTCAATTTTCGGAATGAATGAATTATTCAAAGTCAACTGGTAGTATATGAATATTTAAAGTGCAAATTATGTGAGGAATTTGAAGGCTAGTCCAAATCCTTAGAATCTGTTATTGGTTTCTTTAATATTAAGTTATTACTAAAAAATAAATTCCTACTGCCTTTCTTCATCCGACACGTCAAGTTTGAGTCACGGCGTTCCCTTCTTTATTTCTTCTGTGACACCTGCTAAATTACAATTCAATATGAAGATGTCTTCCATTATTTTTCTGTCAAGAATATGATTTAATCTATCATTTGCTTCCAGTTTTTTTGTGAATCTTATTTTTAGTAATAGTTTTACAGATTCAAATGTGTGCCATCCTTGTAAGATTCCTTGCTCTCCCTTCAAGAATATGCCAAATGAATTTCAGTCACAGACGTCTTAGGAATAATTATTTATTTTTTTATTATTGGCTGTTTCTTTTTTAAGGAAAACAAATGCATGGTTTATCAGGTCAACTTTGTGTTTGGTTCCTTAATTGTTGCAGGTTACATGTAGAGTAACTGATTAAATCTTTAGCCATCTATTATGTTGTTATATGGTAAGATAAAGGTGACTTTTTATACAATACAAAGGTGGCTTCTATGGAGAAACGGGTGATATTTTATGCCTTGAGTCATGAGATCGTCTCATACTAGAATCTTTCATGTAATATATAAATTACACATAATTTCTTTTCATTTTACCTATAGTTAAGGTTCCCTGGGTGACCATTTCTCTATTAGTAAAATAACTTCAAAGTTAAACCAAAGCCTGACTTTGTGACCTCTCTCACATTGCTATCATATGATAATGTACACCTCAGATGTCCTTTAAGACGGATCTATGGGTAGTCTCAAATAATAAATTACAAATAAATAATTGATATAATTGAATCAAGTTGTAGTTTTCAACTCCTTACTATCGCTCTTGCCGTACGCGTATTCGTCCTTCTGTAATTATATATACTGCCTTAGAGGTTCCTTAATTTGTGAAAACTGAAAAGTATTCCTTCCAAGTGATTGAATATTCTAGTCAGTTGACATTCAAGATACCAGTACCTAAGAAATGGGAAACTGCACGTCCTGTGTAACTTCAAATATTCAAATACACGAGTATGGGTGCCTTGAAAATTCATTGCATATTCAATCTGCAATTGGCAGTGGAAAACATAAAGTTGGTTCTGTGCACTCTCAGCAAGGAGCCAAAGGTCTAAACCAAGATTCTGCTGTTCTTTACCAGGTTTGGCTTTGATACTAATTATATTGATGTTGTTTGGCGTAGAAAATTATCCCTCTAATTGCTAAAATATCTGATAATATAATATCATGGCCTTTCTTGGTTCATTTGTGCTTACTTTTGGTGTTTATTTGTTTTATTCAGGGATATGGAATGGAGGATGGGGCATTCTGTGCCGTTTTTGATGGGCATGGAGGCAACGGGCACATAGTGAGCAGAGTAGTAAGGAACCAGCTGCCATCATTGCTACTGAACCAAAGGAAATTTATGGATTGGAATGAGGCTCTTGTTAGTTCCTTTAAAACTATGGACAAGGAGATAAATCTGATTGAGACCGTGGATTGTTCTTTTAGTGGAAGTACTGCTGTGATTGCTGTCAAACAGGAAAGAAATCAACTCAACTGTCATGATTTTGAAACATGTTATCTTAAGAAGGGAAAATGAATTATTTGTGTGTTGATTCTAACCATATGTTGTCAACAGGGTGAAGATCTTATTATCGCTAATCTTGGTGATTCTCGGGCTGTCCTTGGAACATTAACTGAAAATGGAATCCAAGCTACTCAATTGACAAAAGACCATAAGCCTGATGTACCCAGTGAAGTTGAACGGATTAAAAAAGCTAATGGTAGGGTGTTTGCACATGAGAGCCAGCCCCACATCCAACGTGTGTGGTTGCCTAATGAGGATGTCCCAGGTCTTGCCATGACCCGTGCTTTTGGAAACTTTGATATGAAGAGTTATGGGATCATTGTTACACCTGAGATCACTCATCGCCGTGTAACCTCTGAAGACCAATTTCTTGTGCTGGCTTGTGATGGGGTAAGCTTGCTGAGTTTTGCTTCTGATGAACCAGAATATCATTATAAGTTTTATTCCTTGGTCTTTTGTGTGATAGTTCACCACTGGTTCTTAATGCTTAATGTGTTCTTACCATCATAGGGTCAATTTTTTCAATGTCAATCATTAGTATTGTTATATATCTTGCACGAAACCTGTTCATCCATCTAGTAATTGAAGACTCGTGAAAATGATGGACCCGTAGCTGTGATTGTCTTATGTGGATATAGTTTCTTATTTTGGTGTTTGTCTGAAATACAGGTTTGGGATGTTCTTAGCAACGAGGAAGTTGTGTCAATTGTGAGATCAGTAAAGAACAAGGAGGCAGCTGCAAAAGCAGTTATAGACGAAGCTCTCGCTGCATGGAAGCGCAAATTTCCTTCAGCAAAAGTCGACGACTGCACTGCTGTCTGCTTGTTCTTGCAGGAGAGAGAAGACTGTTTGTTGCTTCCAACAACTTGAGCTTTACTATCTGTTTCCATGGTGATGATTAAAGCTCATGTGGTCGTACCCCATATCCGATTTCTGAAGCTGCAAAGGCTGATTGCTGGGTCATAATGTTTGCTCTGAAAATGGAATGATTGAGGGATGTATTCTGTTCAGTGTATATAAATTTCATCACTTTATTTGTGATGCACCTGTATTGCGTATATAATGGTAATTATGTTTAAGAGATATTTAAGTGTTTGAAGCATAGTTTTCTCAAACACCATATGTGAGAGTCCACATTTATTAAAGAAGAGTTATACTATCTATATTGTCATATGATTTTAAGACGGAACCTCCTTAAGTTCTAACTCTGTAAACATCAAGGACCTAAAAGTACATTATTAATGTCATTAAAGGTTGTAACTGTGGAAATCTGCAACCATTTTTTGAAAGAAAGAAAAAAAATAAAAAAAGAAAATCTGTAACCTAGAAAGGAAGGATTAACAGAATCTGCAACCAAAAATTTAGTGGTTTGGTCACATAAACGTAGATGTAGTACCTGTGTCTAATTTTATGTCAATTGGTAGTTAAAAAACACCTTATGGAACTAAATAAATTTGGCACAAAATAATCCTCAAATTAAAGCACGGAGTTTGGTACCTCATTTGTTCATTCAAACTATTTATAAGATACTCCGATCCATTCCTCATTCAAACTATTTATAAGATACTCCAATCCATTCCAAAAATTAGTAATTTCAATAGACAATGTGAATAGCAATACGACAAATATATTCGTATAAAGAATATTCAATATTCCCAAATAATAAATTAATTAAAACCAAAGTCAATTATATAATCGCTCAATTTTAAATTAGTAAGAGAAGTGAATCCCATACATGTACAATGACCCTATATGCCCTTTCAAAAGAATCTAAAGGTTAAATTCTCTCAGCAAAAGGAGCTTGGTTTGTTGCTAACTTTCAAATTTACTTAGCATTCAAGTATAAGAGATACCTCAGTCAAATTAAAATAAAATAAATAGATTTTGCAGTATCTTTTATACGAATATATTTTCATACATTGAAATACAATTTATGATTGAAAATTAAATTCGGGGCTCATTCAAAGAAGGTGCAAGGTTGGTTCTTTGCATTTTCCGTTAAGGTTGTTAATCTAGATTTGTTCTTTTTCGATTACAAGCTTCTTTGATCATTTATATCTCTTTACACGATACAAAATTAACAAAAGTAAATTAAAGTAGGGTTAATTTTATATTTTATTGCATGCAACACATAAATAAATATATTAATAAAGTTAAAATAAAATGTGATGATGAAATACTATACAATTGTATGTGCTATATGTGAAACATGCAAGAACGTCTATAAAATTAGATGATAGATAGAGTCAAATTTAACAAGAGTACGTAACTTTAGTATACATCTGATGTACAATAATTTACTGTACATCGGGGTCACTTTTATCAAATTTAGAATCACTTTTACAACTTTATAACGGATGTACATTCGATTTGTTTAAAAGTTTGTCATTTAACAAATTATAAACTTTTAAAAAAAAAATGCCATTTATCTATTTATATATATAATCTATTTATCTTAAGTGAAGTAGTACTTTTATTTCTAATAAAACATGGTTTAGAAAGGAAAAAAAAAGGTCTAGTTTATTTGTTTTAATTGGGGTTAGATTTAGGTCTACAAAAAAAAGAATGACATTTATTTACGTTAATTACTTGAGAATGGTGAAGAAATATATACCATGGTTATGGAAAATATTAATCAAAATTATTTTTATTCAGTTCATGAATATAGAACTACATACAAGGTTAAAGAGTTATCTAATATGTTGAAATATACATTAACCTAAGGATTGGTAATGCTCAAAGACAATATGGAAAGAACAGTTGCATTATTTTGCTTTAAAAAGAGTTTAAGAGTATTAATTTTTTTAATTTGTTAAATTGTACAGCTGAATCTAACTATCATATGATGTAATCTCACACGCGAAGTCAAGTTGCAATATACGAACTAGTGTTATTTAACCATTTGAGAGTTGATTTGCCAACTCAAAGTTTTGAAATAGTGAATGGTCTCATGCTTACATATCAATACACAACTTATACACGGATACACCTAACTAATAGTTAATCATCAATAACAAGCAAGATTGGTGAAAATTAAGAGCTCGCATTGTGATTTTGAGATTATAAGTTCGATCAAGCCTCATCATCCACTTATACTTGGAATGACCGATGGCCAAACAATTGTCATACATGATAAATTTACATAATCACTAAACTCGATATAAAGATTATTGGATTAATTCTCTATGAATAACCAAATTTCACAATTTCATTAAAGTTGGAGGTTCATTCTTTTTTCTGATGTTTTTTTTTCTAAACTTATTTAAATTTAGAGATGCACATGTGAATCCAATAGATGTACAATTCAATGACTTACACATGCCCTCTCAGAAGATTCTAAAGGTGATCTAAAATAATACTTCTAGCTAATTAACAATATTATTAATTAAACTTATTGCATTAAGTTTAATATTTTACAAGCCTTTGGTACGTAAGTCGGCAACAGTATTTTAGACTTTAGGGGAGCTTATTATATAAAGAAAAATCAAAGTTAAATTGTACAAGCATAATAGATACCTCATTCAAAGGAAAAAGACAAAAAAGAAATACCTCATTTAAAGTAAAATGAAATAGAATCTAGAATCTAATTAAGAAATGGGAAATTGCATATCTTGTGTATCTTCAAATATTCAAGTGCATGAAGATGGCTTTCATGAAAATTGCTTGCACATTGTTGAAAGAAGCCTTAAGGTTGGTTCTGTGCACTCTCGACGAGGAGCCCAAGGTCTAAATCAAGATGCTGCTATTCTCCGCGAGGTTTGATTTGAATTGCACTTTCTATTCAATGCACATCTTTGACCATTAAAATCTCGTGCATATATAATTGCTAGAGCTTGTTTTTGTGCATGTTTTAATTTCATTATTGAAATTATGACTAATAGTACATTTTGATGGAAGAAAATGAAAGAACATGATACAACAATAACTAAATCAATAAGATAATAAGTTGATGAACACACATTGTACAAAGTATTACCTTATAATATGTAATGTGTTAGTCAAGGGATTGTGTTTTTTGCTTACTTTGGTATACAATTGTCTATGAAAGGGGTATGGAAGTACAGAGGATGGGGTATTATGTGCCCTTTTCGACGGGCATGGAATATATGGACATAAAGTGAGCATGTTTGTAAGAAACCAGCTACCTGCATTACTATTAAACCAAATATCATCTTTGGAATGGGATGAGGCTTGTGTTGTTAGTTCTTTCGAAGCAATGGATGAGCTGCTCAGGCAGTCCGAGGATGTGGACTCTACTCACAGCGGAGCTACTGCTGTGGTTGTCATCAAACAGGTATGAACAACAACAACGATGTAGGATCCTCTCTAGTTACTGAACCATCCGAATAATGGAAGATTAACTAACAAGGCCGGTAATGTTAGTAGGGTGCAGATCTTGTTATTGCTAATCTTGGAGATTCCCGCGCTGTGTTGGGAACAATAACTGAATTTGGTGTCCAAGCTACTCAGTTAACAGTGGATCTGAAGCCTGATGTACCTGGTGAAGAATCCTGTTTATACGTATCTCTGTCAATACTTTTGAGTTCTTGCAAACTAGTTAGTATAAAGTCTTTCATGCTCTAAGATCAAACACAAAATTTCTCCGTTTACCTTCTCAGTATTTGTCATGCAGCTGAAGCTGATCGGATTAAACAATCTAAAGGTCAGGTGTTTGCTCTAGAGGATGAAACACACATCCCACGAATATGGCAACCCGAAGAGAACATCCCAGGCCTTGCTATGTCTCGAGCTTTTGGAGACTTCAATATGAAGTCTTACGGGTTAATTGCCATTCCTGAGGTTTCTCATCACCGATTAAATTCAGAAGATCATTTCCTTGTGCTGGCTAGCGATGGGGTAAGTTTCTAACTGCCGAAAGTGTTCATTTCAGGGGTCAATATTTCTCATTTTTCTGTCAATAAATTCCCAGTTTCTAATAGCCTTATTTTCAATCTGCAATATTCAGGTGTGGGATGTGCTAAGCAATGAGGAAGTTGTCTCAGTTGTATGGTCAGCAGAAAACAAAGAGGCAGCCACAGAAGCAGTTACATATAGAGCTCGTGCAGCATGGTCACACAACTTTCCATCAGCAAGGCCTGATGACTGCACGGCCATCTGCCTGTTCTTTTAGCCGTTATAGGAAAATGAACGCGTACCTGCTTGTGTATAGATTATGAATAAAACAGATGTATTTGTTTATTGAACTTTTAGGTCTTTTATGTCTACCTTTTGATGAGCTACTTGCACAGTTGCACACTTGTACGATTGTTTGTACTACATAACACAGTACATAATTTTCATTTTATGAAAAGACCATCTGTGATCCTGTTTGATATGAGCTAATCGTTCAAATTTTGTCAAGTTTAGGTAGCAAGTCAATTTGAATCAGTTTCGGGAAGGGTATGTTCTATAAGCTAACAGGTCAAATATGTTCTTCAATCTGATAATCCCACAGGAGATATTTTACCATGCTTACTGTAAAACTGATAAGTTTGTTGATCTGAAAGTCTGTTTTCTTAGGAACAGAAACTTATAATTAAAAGGGTATAAATATAAAGTTATTAACAGAATGGGCGAAATACCCTGAATTAAGAACAATGTGGACAATAATTGGCATCAAAACAAGTCATTGACCATTAAAGAGGGAAAAAATATAAATATAACAATTGGTTATCAAAACTTGATCTCATATCCTCTCTTTGAATTGAAGTTTGAAGAAAGAAGACCACAAAAAGATCTCAACTCTCCATTGCTAGCCAAAAACATGTCCACGATGTTTCAAAATGATTGGTCATTTGCTGGCCCCTCTACAGGCAGATGCCCACGTTGTTTCAAGATGATTGGTCATTTGCTGGCTCCTCTACAGGCAGATCATCATACGAGACAGGCACCCTAATCCTTTCATGTACAGGCACACGTTTCTCTCCAGCACTGGGCTGTGGTAACTGTTCCTGCACTGGGGTTTCTATCTCACAGTCATTGTCTGAAGTGCTAGCCACTGGCTTACCGGTCATTGCATCTGAAGCACTAGGTGGTTGGACACTCGGTCGCCTAAATTGTTTCTACAAAACATTAAGCACAAGATGTATGAGACAAGAAACATATACATATAAAGGGACTTGATAATAACAAGGACAGGAGAGGACATGTCATAATTAGATAACTTAAAGAGTTTGCATAAACCCTGAACTTTCTTACACAAGAAGTGGCTTTAGAATCTGAATAGATTGTAATGTTGTAACACAAATTGTTATTTTTCTGTTTTTACTTCCGTAGATAGTAGAGTTTCAACAAACAACGAGACTCACAACTCCTTTTTGTGCCTATTCTTATTCCCCAAAACTTCCTACTGTACAATATCACTAACCTGGATACAGCAATTTTTATATCTAGAAAATCAGTAATCTGTTAAAAGTATGACATGAGATCAAAAGAACATGAGACTGCAAAAGAGACGTGGTAATTGGGTCCAAATTAAGGTGTAAGTGCCCAAGCCCAACAATTCCCCAACCTACGTGATAATTGAACCACCAACTTCATGGTTGTTTGGAGCTTGACAGCTCCTAATACTAACCTCCTACATGATTATTCTCCATGAGCTACTACAAGGAGTAGAATACATCCTTGAGACCTTGACCTACCTAAAAGACCATACTTGTTTCAAGAAACCCAAATGTTGCACATCTAAAGAAGGCTATGAACTAGGTGTAAAGACTGTAAACTTCAAAAGAAAGTCTTAAAGTCCAATAAGCTATGGTGCAGAAAGTTGGTAAGCTTAGCATAAAAGAAAAGATAGAAATATATAATAATAATAACATAAGAATTAAAGATATCATGTAGCTGAAACTATAAATCAGAATTACAAAATAGCTAGCATATCTAACACCCTAAAAAATATTCATGTAAAGTACTCTATGAACCAAGTTAGCTAACAAAATCAATCAAATAATTTTAAACAAAAACAAAAGCCAAATCCAGAAGAACCATTTCCATTGGCAATGACTATCAGAAGGTACCAGAAACAGTGACTTACTAGATGAGACAATGACAAGCAAGATAGGATATTGTACCATTGTTTCCCCAAATTTACCAGATGATTATATAGTTTGGCTTGCTTGATTATGAGATATTTCCGATTTTGATATTTACACAGTGCAGGAAAGTTATTATGCTTACGTCAATGTAAGAACAAATGTTAAATTTCCTTTATTCAACAAGAATCCATCTACACTTCGATGAATTCACTATCCAAGTAAGGGGGTCAAGTGGTCAACTCAGCATGTATGATGTACCAACATAGAAAAGGGGCAGATTTACTTCGAGCATTCAGGACAAAGAAACTTCAAGACTTTAACTGTGATTTGCAAATATTGACATATCACAGGCCCACTAACCAAAGATTCTCTAATTTTAATCTCCAAATGCCCCTATGATATGCATGAAAACATATCACACTTCTTAACCTGGCAGTCCACTTCGACACACTATATTTGCTGTAGGAATGAAAACTTCAAATGGCAGAACAGGAAAGTATTAATAAAGGACGGCCAAAAAATACCTCAAAGTCCCTTCCTTTCTTCATTATCTCCTTATAGGCATTGGGATCTCGTGCCTTAAGTATATTCCATAATACCCCTCCACCAGACCTATATCGATCGCCTAGAACAGTCTTCTGACCTCCACAAACTTGGACAGCTTCTACCTGCAATTCGCACATGCTATTGAGAATATGGACAATATTTTATTTTAGCGAGGGAAAAGGAACATAATATGGCCAAGCTACAGACAGAAAGGAAAAAAAAAAATTGATGCAGAAAATTACGTAGCAGTTTTTAAGGGGAAGAAAATAGCATCATAGACTCATAGTAAGGTTAATCTCTATGATATGAATAATGAAGTTTTTCAAAAAAGAAAAAAAAAATAATAAATATAGTAAACTAAACAAGACAAACATAATGCACAATAACTAAATCACTTAATATAAAATAGGGATCGAGGAAAAGATTATATATATAAATGGGAAGCAAACAAAATGTTAAGATGAAACCGGTGAAATATATTACGAATCAACTATACAACATAGATTGCAAACAGCTAACCATCAGACTAATGCATGACATAGACAAATTATAAACTTATCTGCATCACATAGAAGCTCTTCAAGATATTTTTTTGAAGCCAAATGATTAAATTAAAAATGAATTAAAAAGAGAACAGAATTCCTTCATGATTATTATTTTTTTTTTTTTTTTTTTTTTGCCAAAGAGAGAAGACAGATCAAGAATTGAAAATGGAAAATGAGAGAGTTCACATTTCCAGGGGAGGTGGCTCTAATAATCCTGCTCCAACTCAAAAAATTGCACACTCCTAAGAGTCCCCAAGTTGAGTAAAAATTAGGTGAATGAGTTAGTCAACATATCTAGTATCAAATCTACAGAAAATAGATTAAACCTCAACAAGTTTTCATTTAAGTTCTTGTATGTAAGAAGCATAATTTCAAGTTCTGTGAAAGGCTCATCAGTTTGTAATATAGACGATAGACCTACATTAGTAGCAAAGCGCAAAGTCAATCACCCAGAGGATATCTCAGCACAGATATCTGAACAACTGAAAGAAGTAATAAGCTTCCACTTAAGGTATCTGCAAAGGTCGGAAAACAACATAAAGCATCAGAAACTTAGAAAAATACTTTTGAATCCATACGTCTCAGGGTTGTCTGGAAAAATCCTAATTTGTCTCACCTTTTTAATTGAAGTAAGATTAGGTCTGCCAGGCCATGTTCAAATTAAGGTAAATTCTCCCTATAATATAAACAAAACGAGGTAGACTAATCAAGAAGCAAGTCAAGCAACTCATTAAATTTCTGACAAAGTAAACTATAGGGCAGGGGTCCTGAATCCTGAGTTACTGAGCGAGTGACACAGATATAACAGCTTATTAGAGCCACTCTGGACTGGTAGTGTAAGAGGCAAACTCACTCAGATTGTCTGTTCATATACCTTAAGTAACAGCTATGACGGGAGGTGAAAATAATAACAAATGAGATGAACAAGCAGTGGCACTTAAGACTAAAAGAGAAGCAAATCTGTCAGCAAAAGCATCAGAGACAGTCACACATCCAATGACAATAGCCATAATAAACTGTGGTTGTTAATACATGGTCAACAGCAGTCAATAAGTGTTGTTCAGATCAACCCCAAGTGAAAAAGTGATCGGGAAACAACAACCATATAGCATCAAAATACATAATGTATCAACAGGCAAGTGTATGCAATCAAAGAAGAGCAGTCAAATGTGGATACAGACCATACAGCTTTTCATTGTAAATTCAGTTATAAGGAGTATATACAAGGTAGAAAGACGACCCCATTAGCACTAACAAGTAACAACAAAGATATCTGAAACTTATATAAGAAGATTTAATGTCAGGATTACCTCTTTAACAAGATCCCTAACAGCAGCTATTCCCAGAACACCAATTGCAGTATACACCAGATATGACTTTCGCTCTCTTAACCTCTTACAGACATCCACAACAAACCTGTAGACAATACATGAAAATTAACATTTAAAATTTTGTCAGATAAAAGCATCTTTTCTCAAAGATAAAAATGCAATCATCCGAAAAACAGATATGAATTGGAAGTGACATGCCTATGCAAATACAAATCTTAATTTGCTGAAGAAGTAGCATGAATAACATCCATTGACACAGTTTGGGTTGCTACATTAAGATGAAATCACAATGATGGAGTCATAACAAAGGCCCACAATGTTTTCATAGAGCTTAGTGGAGCCAAAAAGTATAATAATGGAAATGAAACCCAAATAGAAGCTTGATGATGCATCAAAAACTAGTTTGGGTTCATACCATTGCATTTCTCATATAAACCTAATTCACAAATGACAAGCGATATACCAAATTGACAATGCAGCTAACAATATAATTAATACAATTTGAGGGCATGAAAAAAGGATCCTAATCAAAGCAAGAAACATTAGCCAATAAAATGATTTGAAATAAGTTAAAGGGCAAGGAAGCTATACACTAAATAAAATACAGGCCAGGGGAAAAAACGAAACCTGTCAATGTTAACGACATCTGATTGGGGTACGAAATTCTTCTTCTTATTCTTCTTTTTCTTCTTCCTTCTCTTGCCTGTATTCTTCGCTGGTTGAAGATTTTCACTCTGTGAAATCACCTTCACTTCAATATCATTTTTGTCACTAGTTTCCCCTGAAACATGCCCATCCACAACTTCTCCTTCTTCAATATCCATCATCTCCACATCTTCACCATCTCCAAAGCTCAGCTCTTCATCAATAGTATCTAATATACTCTCCATTTATCCTACACAAGAATAACAATCCACATCAAACATCGGCCAAGCATATGACATCATATAACCCAGAGTTCCAGACCCCGAAATTGTCTTGAATCATAAATAACAAACAATAACAATTAGCACAATAGTTGCATATTCACAATTTTCAACCCATCCCACTCTTTAGTCTTTACCCCCAAAACCCATCAACCATGTCCTCAAAATAATCTGCTTAAGAAGAGAAACACTGTATGCATACCATTACCTTACCTAATTAAAGTTTTCACCTTAATCAACAATGTAAAGTTCACTCAAACCATGCATAAAAATAATGGGAAATTAAAAAAAAAAAAATCAAAGTAATAACCAAAAATTTACACAAATATATATACCCATTAAGCCAAAACAAAAAAAGTTGATGAATATTACAAACTTATGGCAATTAACAAGAACAATAGAATGCCCATCATCAAAAAAAATAAAAATAAATAATACAAATCAACACAGAAAGGGTAAAATAAAAGGAAGCTAAAATGCGCATCAACCCCATTAATATAAACAGAAAAATTAAGGTTAAAAGTTGCAAATGATATGAGAAAAATGACGATTAAAAGGGAAATAAACAGAAAAATTAAAAAGTTTAACAAAACTGCAAAAGTACCTTGATTTGTAGCAGATAATCCTGGAAATTGGAGAAATTTCTCTTTCTGGGTGTATGTAATTCCCCTTTTAATTGACAATTAAGAGGGTTTTGTGGGTGATTTATTGAGAATTATATGGCGGTGAATTGGGGTTATGAGTTATGACCTTGCGAGCTCGCGAGTGTCGACTCACTGAGTCGCGGGTATTTGAGTAACTGGTTTTTTCGAGTTTTTGTGGAAATTAATTTTGAAATTCTGGGCCTCTAATCAAGAAGATGAACCTAATAGTCCGATTAAGAAAGGATTAGCCCATTTGGGAGGGGTTTTTTTTTTATTATTTAAATAGGCCCAATTGGAGTTTTAAGACTCTATTTTATTGAGTTTGCCTCACCGGTCCGAATCCGACTTTAGTTGCACACCTGATTTATGGTGGATGAGTCTCTCACAAGAGTTTTTTACATTTGGTGAGGCTTAACTAGAAACCGTCCTTAAGCCGTTAAGCGACATCAAACTACTCACCACTTAAGTCAACTCTGGTTGGTTAAGACCCTATTTTAGACCTTTCTTTTTATGATTTATCTTGTGTTTGATGATAAGTGTGTTATGAGTATTTTTTTCAAACATATATAATAGTTTGTTTTTTAACAATACAATTGTGCAATTCAAATGGTATATTTATAAAAGTGTAATACAAAAAAGTTCACAATCAAAAATAAATTGTTAGAGTACTTTGATGGAACCATACAAGAAATGTGATATATCATTTTTAGGATAAAGCAAGATAATTTTATCTAGAGAAATGTGACACAGGCTTTTATTAATGTTCATACAGAAATGCATATAGTAGAATCACTTAAGCATAATCAATAGTTTATGTGGGAGCATTTGATTGAATTAGTGAATTGACGTTTAGCAAAACTTTACAAACATTGGAACATAATGGTATTTACGATTCCGGAATCCGCAATCAAAATATGACACGGAATTTGCATATTGCAAGTTACAAGGACAACATCAGAATCTTCGGACTATGGAGTTTTTTTCATGGGCCATATTTACTTATGCTATTGTATTTTTATACAATCATACACATGTTAACCCTTTTTTTTTTTAAATATTAATTCTTTCTCTTGTTTTATGTAGGGGTGTCTAGTTGATTTTCGATTTTCGGTTTAAATTTAGGCTAAATCTAATCCGCTCCGAAATAAAATTCAGCTTTTGATTTTTAAATCTAATCCAATCCAAATTTCTCATGAATACAATTCAATCCAATCCGAATTAAAATTAGATTATTTGAATCCGATCCAAAAATCCAAATTAAAAATACATTGCAAATTTTTAGTGACTAAAATAATTATAAAAATAAATATGTAATTATAAAAAGCTTAGTCTTAAATACATAGTTGTACATGATTAATACAAATACTAAAAACAATACGAAGTACATACCTAGTATTTTAGACTTTTTAACTTGTACTCCCTCCGTTTTTAAATACTTGTTCCACTTTCCTTTTCTGACCGTTTTTAAATACTTGCTCCATTTCCTTTTTAATTTACAATATTTAATTAATTTCTCACACTTGGTGGACCCAACATAATACTCTCTCTCCTCCTATTCTTCCACTACTTTTGTTTTTTACATTTTTTTATTTTCTCAACTACCCTACTACCTCCATATTTTATTACTTTATCCAATTTCTCTTAAAACTCCGCGCATGGAGAAATGGAGCAAGTATTTAAAAACGGAGGAAGTATCTATAAAACAAGTTGTAATATCAAGCATAGTAGCCATTGGGCCCGATTAAGCCCATTAGTCCATTAGTGTTATCCTTGTCATTATCAACGTGGCCCAATAGCCCGATCTTAGGCAATTTGGACCCACCTATTAAACCATTACATGTTACGTAATTTCATCCACTCTCACTCAAGGACAAAAATTGTAATCAATTCTTGCTTAGCTTATATTTGTAATCAAGAATTTTTAAATTTGCAAGCCACCATCCATACCATGTTAAATTGGTATACATATTCATCAATATTATTGTTTAGTTTAAACTATACGGAGTAACGTGTAGCAAGATATAGATTGTGAAAGAAAACTCTGAGTTTATTGAATGTAACCATTAAATTATTTTAAATAATAGGAATAAAAAAAAAAAAAAAAGGCGAGTATGTAGTAAATAAATTGTATCTGGTTTGAATCCACATTTAATAATCATGGTAAGATAGAGGAAAGTTTGGCACTACTTAGATTATTTGATAGGTCTTCCTCTCTTGGATGCAAATTTTATGATTTCAGATAAAATGTTGTCTATGTTGCTTGTCTTTTTGAACTCTTTATCTAATATGGAATACACGTTATATGTAGTAATAGCGTATTAATTACTAAGAGGCCTTTGATTGGCTATTTCAATTCAGAGTGATGAAGAGTGAAATAAATTTAATAGTATGAAGTAGGAAAGTTTTGTTACACTCGTAATAAATTATCAAAATAGACATTTGATAGGCTGTTAGACAAAGAAAGCTATACATTAGAAATTTAGAATCATTTGAGCTTAGAGATACCGGAATATTTGCAATCAGACAAGCTAAAACATCATTAGATTCCAATGAATAAGAGAGGGGGCCAATAGTGTGAATAATGCAGTTATAATTTCGTGTATAATACGCCCGCGGTAGGCCTTTATTGTTTTTTCAATTAGGTGTTCTTTGTGTGTTCTCTGTTTTTGAAATGTTATATTTATATTAGTTAAGCCATATTCACTTTGTCTTAAAAAAATAATATTCAGTAAAATTAATTTTCACTTCAGTAAAAATAAGTTCAGTTCAGCAAAAATAATTTCAGTTTAGTAAAAATCAGTAAACTTAAAGAAGAAATATAATAGCAATTCAGTAAAAATAATTTCAATTCAGTAAAATTAATTTCAATTCAGCAAAAATATTTTCAGTTCAGTAAAAATAAGGTGAAGTGAACGGGGTCTTAATCTTTTAAGAGGGAAAACGTTAGGAATACGAATCCTTCTTTACGAGGGGAATTCTTAACACATTATTTCTAAGTTTTATTTCTATATTAACATATAACTACATTGAAATAACACAAATCCTTATATGTGGTTGGCCATACCATGTGACCAACCATTACAGGAGTTACTTGGTCAGTGTTACAGGATTACTTCGTCGGTGTATTGGGGTTATCAGTGTTATAGGATTTACTTTGTTCTTTTACATGTGGTCACATGGTACAGCCAGCCGCACGCAAAACGTAGTTGTTGAAATAATATATCTTTTTTATTGTAAGATTTTATTATGTTAAGAAATACATAGATTTTTCAGTGTGGCAAGCCACATGGTGCGGCACGGTTACTTGTATTTTAGGGTTACTTGTATGAGTTACTTGTAGGGTGTTACTTGTATTATGAGGTTACTTGTATGGGTTACTTGTATCGTGGGGTTACTTGTATGTGTTACTTGTATTCTGAGTAACTCCAGACCAAAATTCCATACCAAACCAGTAACACCCTATAAGTAACCCTGATCAAAACCAATAACAACCATACAAGTAACTCTAGAATACAAGTAACCCCTGACAAAACCTGTAACACCCTATAAGTAACCCCGACCAAAACCAGTAACACCCATACAAGTAATCCCATAATATAAATAACACCTACAAGTAACCCCTGACAAAACCAGTAACACCCTACAAGTAACCCTTGCCCCACTAGCTATCAAGTCCTATATCATTTGGAAGGTCATGTGTCAGTGTGTTACGTCTTTAAAGAGAATATTGATTTGATTAAATAAAATTAATTTAGGATGGTTAATAACAAGCTAAGGAGTGTGGGACATTTATACAAGCCAAGCTCAATTGATGTATGAAAATTAATTTAAAAATTTTCTCTCGAAAGAACATACTTTTTTAAAAGAGCTTAAAATTAAATTATTAATATCACTAGCTTTAGCCTTTAGTAGCAAACTAGCTAATGTAATATAATGTGTTAGCCTAAATCGAGCCAACATTGAATAAGTGTACTATCAAAAATGTAATAAGGCATATCATTGAGGTTGTCGGGTAATTTTTAAATGAGATTGCATGGTGTGTTTTGTTTTGTGTTATATATGGAAAAACCACTAATCAATTGATACATACAACGGAGTATTTACTCGTGTAAATCATTATTCTTGAATAAAAATATACTATATACGAGTAAGAAATAAATATAAAATCTTATAATAAACCAAACGTGTTCACTATTTCATTATCCAAAACAAGATAATTTATTAAGTAATATCGTATACCATAATAATGAACGATATACCTTTTTTTTGTACAAAATGAAGTACATCCCTATAGTTTACAAAAAATCTCTAACTTACCCTTATCGACTAATAAACATTAAAAAAATCTCTTAAATTAACAAATTTACCTTGCAAACCTAAATTAAAATTGAGACTAATTAACATGGATCTTCTGTATTACATATGTAAAAGCTTGTACACACTAATTGGTTTTAATTTGTACTAAATTGCTAATAATAAGTGCCTGGAGGTACCTAAGAAAGAGTGCTAATAATAAGGGCCCGGATGTACCACGAGGATAAGCCATGGTGTCAGTGAGAAAATTTTTGGACTAGGTTTTTTTCGTGAGAGGGTTTTTTGTTGTGTATGAGAGGTGCTCCTTACTATGGAGGTGTTTACTTCTTTTACAGAGAAGAATACTAAACCACAAATAATACATCGTTTCTTCCAACCAATGTAACCGGAGGAATCTTGTTTGGATAGGACAAAATCAATTACACTTTAGGTAAAAGTACAGTTCTAAGGTGTTTTTAATTATTTTTTTAAGATATATATATTAAAATAAACAAAAAGCAATTTCCTTTTTTTAAAAAAGTACACTTTGAAAAAAGATTTAAATTTTGTTTTTTAGCTTAAAAAAAAACTAATTTTTATTTTAGAAAAAAGGAAACTTTTAAAAGATTTTGTTTTATTTAGATATTATATTAGAATAAACATAACAAATTCAATTTAGATAGTCTACTTGAGGCTAAGGCTCATATTTAAGGAATACATTTCATTTAAAATTTAATTTAGAATCTTAGTAAGGCTAAGGCTCCAAACACTTGCACATACACATACAAATCAATACAAACACTACGTTACTAAATTCCAAAACATTCATACATGTTGACCTTCGACTCTTTATTTGACCATGTTCATGCGATTATTTAATACTCAACTTTATCGATTGCCCGTCTTGTCCTTCAACTCCTACTTTGACCATGTTCGACAGGACCATGAGCACAACGCCCCCAACGACACCACACTTAGTTGAACCGTGGATTGACATCCAATGTAGGCTCTTACATATGAACCTTGCCATGTGAATTGAAACTCTAGTTTCTGTCAATATCACGATATCTGGCATGTGTACATCAACCAACAACCTTAATTCTTCTAGGAATAATTCCCTACCCATATCTCTGCAGTTCCATATTAAGATTTTGGTCGTACCATGTTGAAGAACTGGCGTTGCCCATAATGTAATTGATGCTTTACGGCCATCCAAAGGATGCTGTCCTAACCAACAACAGGCTACAG